AGGCTCCCAGGCAAGGCAAGCTCCCCCTGCCCCACTCCCCCCAGCAGCTGTACAAGGTCCTCTGGGGGAGGGAAAACCAGACATGTCTCCACTCAGTATGGCTCTGGCTGAGCCGGCGATGCATATTTAAATGCATGGGAGCATCTAAGCTCGTCTCTCATTCCTTGACATTTCCAGAGACTCCAAGCTGTCTTCAATTACCAGTCTGCAATTAGCTCTTCCTAAATCCCCCGATGAGGCCTAGCACTCTTAATCAATGAAACACAAGGGAGGAGGGGAAGGACATGGCCTCACTGCAGCTGGAAGCATTTCGAAAGGCTGGGGCTTGAGGCTGGAAGGACCCCAAGAGTCTTTCTAAAGGGAATCTGTAGGGTGGGGAACCTCCACCAGTGCTGGGAGGTTGCTCAGCTCTGGAGATGAGACTCTACAAAGCCCCACGGCTGGGGGTAGAGGGTCACTGGACAGACATCCCCAGCTCAGGGTGGAGACAGCCAGCACCTATGGTTTGGCTGTTACCCTGCAATGCTGCAGACCCTTCTTGCTGGATTGTGGCATGCTGCTTCATCTCCCCCTGCCTCAGTTTCCCTCTCTGCAAAACACCAACAGGGGAGCGTCAGGACTCCCCCAGAATCCCTATAGAAGCTCTAAGGGTCCAACTCCACCCCAGTTTAAGCCAGAGTAAGCCAGAGCTGCTACCTTCCCCAGCACAAGATGTGGATATGGCCAAATCTGGGGTGGGGGTGTGTCATGAGTATGTTTTGGCCCAGACAGCTTCACCACAAGGTCACATGAATGTCAATCTAAAGGCAGAGAGAAGAGCACCCATTAGGGACAGGGAGGAGGGGAGCAGCACAGGTCTGGGTGGGTTTACGCAGCCACAGAAAAGCCTTGCACAGCAGCCTGCCAGGTCAGTCCCCGTCACAGGGACATCTGTGCTGTCTTCCTGGCAGCACAGCTTTGCCTGAATGAGCCAGATTGGGCCTAATTAGCAGCTCTGCTGATGCACACAAAGGTAAAGAGAATCCAGCTTACCCTCCATGACCTGCAGAGCCAGCACAGCCCTTCCTGGCCGAGGAGAGCCCAAGCGCCTGGCTGAGAGGGGCTGAGGAGCATGGGATGCAGACCCCAACAGGAGAGCATGTGCTGTGGGTCCTGCTAAAGAAGCCCCGGCAAATTCAGCAGCATGAAGCATAGCAACCAGCTATGAGAAAGGCAAAGCCTTCCCCTTCTCCACCCTGCTCCCTGGGGGTCTGCAGAAGCAGAGGGCTGGTAACTGGGCTAGCAACACAGCCCCCACAGCCTGCTGCTGCCAGGGAAGGGAGCCCGGCCCTGCAGAGCAGCGAGAGGGAGGAAGGAGGTGAGGGGGGGTAGCTTTAGGAGGAAAAGAAAAAGAAAGAAAAAAAAAAAAAAAACAAAAAGAAAAAAAGAGGTGACATGGTTTGTGGGATCCTAGTTAAATCCAGTGCGGCAGACAGGCATCAGACATTTCCATCTGGAATGGAGGAGGCCAGGAGAGCTCACAGGGAGCCAAGGGGCACTTGGGTGGACCAGGACTGGCCTTGGGCACACCAAACAGGGGTCAGACTCTGAACCCCAACTCACATGGGGGAGTAAAACCCCTCTGAGAACCAGCCCCCCCAATCCCTCCTGGGGAGGAGAGGGAGCATGACTGGGGGCTTGGGGTGCCCCCCCAATCCCCCTTGCACCCCGCAGCCCAGCAAGTCCAGGGAGCCACCACCAGGCCCATCCAGGCCACCTCTTTATTCTCCAGTGAAGCAAAGCAAGAGGAGAGGGAC